ATGTATATATATACATTTTTTGTATTTTGTAATACACAGGTTTATCTCTCCACACGTTCCATGGAAACTTTTTTGTCAGGTCCACAGATTTATTATCTCTTCCTAATGTGAATCCTGATACTGGATATGGCTTGCAGATAGCCATAGAGGATAATTTAACAGATTGTAAGAATGTGTGTTTTCAAGTTGCTGTTCTTTACACATCAAGTAGAGGTATGTTAGTGTTGAATAAAAAATATGACAAATATATTTAAAATTTTCTTTTCACAGAGATAAAAAACGTAAAGGAGTTTACATTTTGCACATAAGTACCATCAATTTCATTGACTTATCAATCAAATATGGATGAAAATTAGCATAAGAATAGAAAGTTTAAGAAAAAAAAAATATATATATATTATTACTAATAATAATAGTAATCAGAATTTGATCCAAACTGAAATAAATCAGAAAGAAGAAAAGAAAAACAAGAAATTTAGCTTTCAGGGTGAAGTTCTCGTATAGAGAAAGTGGAAAATGTACCCAAGATTAAAGTAAGTTGAATAACTGAGCTCGTACTACTATATTAGCTTGTGACAAAAATGCTGTATTTTCATTACTTTATAAGAAAGTATTGTATTTTACAAGCTAATCATAAGTTTATAATTTGTTACTTAACACTAATATTTTGTTAGTTAAGCATAAGATCTTATTCTCTGAATAAGTAAGCTTAATCTGAGGTATAAAGCATGGGTGTTTAAACATTAATGTTTTTCATGTACCATATAGGAGTACCTGATAAACAATTTGTTGTTACTTTTATACGGGTCTTATCAGTCATGTTCTTTATTACTGTATCAAAAGTTTTTTTTTTACAAGAGATAGCATATCCAACTTAGTATTCATTCAGATAATTAGTCCCATGTTTCACATGCTATATTTAAATGTTATCTTTTGCTAGTCTTTCAGCAGAAATATTATTACTAACTCTTTACTTTGTGGGTTACTTTGAATGTTATATTCTGTAATATGGTTGTGTACTATTATGTATAATTCAGAATACTGGCTTTTACTTCTGTACACTGACATTGAACTTATACTGTGAAGGCAGTTTCTCTACTATATCATTTAGTTTGGCTCTCTGATGTGGTTTTCACATTGTAATTCTTTGTCATCTGATTATGTACTGTCCTATGTAATCCAAATTTCAGGGGAAAGAAGAATTCGTGTCCATACCTTGAGCCTTCCAGTAGTAAAAGGTGTAACAGAAGTACTTGAGAGTGCTGACCAGGAGTGTATTGTAGGCCTCTTAGCTAAGATGGGTATGGTAATTTAAACTTAGATGTGTCTTGTGAGGCAAGGAATATTATGTAGCTTGTACAAAACAATACTCAAAATTTGTATTACTATTATCAGGATCTAAAATAGCAAAGGTATATATAAGGTTGTTTGAATATTAGCATTAGACAGGTAAAGTAATTTGAAAACTTCTTTAAGAGAACATGAACCTTTGGGGAAAATTCAGTGTATCCTCAGTATGGTGTTTGTATTTTAAAGTGAAGAATTATCTATGTATACATTTGTAAATCTGTGTGTGTGTGTGTGTCATATATATATATATATATATGTATGTATGTATGTGTGTGTTTGTGTATATTTGAATTTCTTCCTTTTTGAGAAATTTCTTGCCTGAGTTTAAAAGACAAAAAACAAACAATAATTACTCGTTTTCTTTTTTTACTCAAGTGGCTCAGTGATACATATGAGAGTTTACAATATTAAAAAATGGAGTTCAATAACTGTAGTGGGCACAGTGCAGATAGCCCATTGTGTAGCTTTGCAATTAACAACAAATGAACTATCAAATTTGTCATTTTTACTTGTTTAACAATGTTTTTAATGTAAAGTTTTTTAGAATAATTATTTATGTTTAATTGATAAATATGCTCTAAAACTTATTTTCATATATCTTCAAGAAGTACCATTTCATTTTTTGTTTTATTTTTTAACAAACTAGATACCATTGCACAGCTTTTTCATTTCAATAATATTTTTGTATTTGTGTTAACTAGAATTTTTATGTTTTTAGATTATGTGCCATATACATTCAACGTGTATACCAAATAAAAAAAAAAAAGCAAGAAAAGATAGTTTTTGTGCTTTGATTTATATACATTGTGAAATCTTTGTCTTGTACGTGAATAGTTAAATATAAATATATATTAGCTGGCCATTAAGGGTTGTTAACATAATTATTTATTATGGCACTCATAACAAAATCATAAAAACATTTAACAGTTTCATTTAAACACCACCAAATACTCTGAGAAATATAATTTTATTTAGTATACCTTGTGTCTGTAATGTTGCATTGAAATTGTAAATTTTGAAATGGTAATAATTAGTGGAATATAAAATTGATAAATGATAATACAGAATAAACTAACATGTCTAAATGAAAACTGTTTCTAGTTTATTTTGTGCAACATTTTGAGCAGACATTCTTTGTCAGGAAGTAAAGATTGTGTTACAAGGAATTAGGTTTGGAAAGAGTGGAATGTGTATCATTGTTTTAGTATTGCTGAATGTGCATTGAATAGGCTAGTAACTTGTAGAAATTAAATAACTTCAAAATTTACATATCTCTTCAACGTTGTGTGTAATTTTGGCAAACATTTAAACCATGATCATGTGCAGTTTAATTGTAGGCAGAGTGTAATATTTCATGATATAAAACTTCTCACATATTTTGGATTAGTGGTTTAATATAAGTTTCTGTGTAGTGATTAAAACTAGAAAAAGTATATTTAGTGACAAAGACTTTAATAGCTGCTAAATAATTACAATGAAAAAATCTTAAAATTTTATCATAGCTAAATCATATTTCTTGTAAATTGTATTTAGGTCTTATCACAATTTCTTTGTCAAGTAATGAACACTTTCTGGACTGGAGAGGTGTCACTGATATGTTTTGATTTTTTAAATATTTATAACAATAGAAATACTTAACTGAATTGCATGGAACTTAGCATAAACTTACTAACTTGTATCTAGTTTTGACTTTAAAAAATCTTATAATTTGATTTAGACTTTATAATTTTTATATTGTGAAATTTTCAAATTTTTGCTGCGAGACTATATTGAAAAAAATACTTCCTTTAATTTTAGAATTTCAATTTTTTATGTTGATCAGAAAGTTGCTTTATGTATTCAATCAGGTTCGGTTTGATTGATATTCATTTTTTTTTATACTCTTTTTTTTTTTTTGACAATTGCAGTATTCATTACTTCTGATTCTAAATCATAAAAATACACTGCATAAAGTGATGAAGATTTTTCCTAGACATTTCATAATGAAGTCAAGTCAAAATGGTCAAAATCATTTTATGTCTAAGAAATATACTTTTTTAAATGTATGTGCATTGTTGAATACAGTAATATTCAATAAATTAGAACTTGAGCCATGACTAGGCTTATGTTACGTCCTGTCATACAAGGTAATTTCTCTAGCTTTTGAACAAATATAATTTAACATGAAAACTATTTTAGGAATGAAAAAAAGGGCTGAAGAAACTGTAAAACATTTCCTGAATTTATGGCTTGTTTTGAAGATTTCTTGACTTCCCATTAGATTCTGTTCTTGTTCTCTACAGGAGTTAGTTCATACAGAACCATAGAATACTTCTTGTTCCACTTTAATTCACTCTACATTGATGTGAATAGTTTATAATTTACTCCATCCATTGGTATATAAACTTTGCTTGTAGCTATTTCCAAAGCTGAGCTTCATTAGTAGTTCACATAATATGCCATGAAGCCATAAATGAATAGGAATAGAAGGAAAATCACATGAAAAATAAAACCTCGAGAATATAAAAGGGATAATAGTTTCTTAGCATATGTAAACCTGTGCTTTGGATGGGTAGAAGAACCTTAAATCTAATAGTCTGTTGTTTACAGGAGAGAATATTGGGTGCTGTGTAGAAATGCAAATTTTAAAAAAAAAATTATTTTTCTTTACAAAATACACTAAATATTTGTTACAAAGTGGCAAAATATCAATTTAAAAATATTTTTGGGTACAAAATTGTTGAAAAGTTAGAATTGTTATTTTTGCTTAAATTATGAAATTTAATATATAGGTGTGCATTTGACAAATAAAAGGTACTTGCTAGTCTGGATAGGGTTAACACAGGAAATTGTAAATAATGATTCTGCTGTATTGTTGCTTTCATTAAAATTTTATTATGGTCAAATTTACTGTAACATTAGCATAGTTACATAAAATATTTAAAAGTTTTTATTTTGTTAAATCTCATTCTGAAACTTTATTGTAATAAAATTTGGATTGAATAATGTGGAAGTAGCCTAAAAGCCACTTTTTTTATGTTGCTGTTTAACTTCTTTGAGAACTGTGCAAAATTAGAAACATCTTATATAAGAAAACGTTTTTTTAAATAGTTAAACAAGAGGAGAAAAAAGATCTTTAACACTTTGGCAAACACTTATTAAAATTGAATTATCTTTAGAAATGTGGGAGATTTTGTTCACTATTAAATTTCACATAATCATGTTTCATGTTCTAATTTTCTTTAAATTCAGAGATATACTTTTATTCTGTTTAACTCTTTATAAGTAAAGTTTTCAATTAAAAAGTGCTTTGAAACATTTACAATAGATTTTAAGGTTAAGATCCACTGTATATTTCTATAAGAATATTGAAATTTTAGAATGTGTGTATCATAAATTTGTCACATTAATATTGATGATAGCTTAACATACAATGAAATATCTAATGTATATAGTTCTGAAGTTTCTTAATCTCTCCAAAATTTTTTTCTTATTGCTTTTTTTTGAACCTATCACTGTTTTTTCATTAAGCTGTTGACAGAAGTATTTCATCTTCATTGGCTGATGCACGAGAAGCTATGGTCAGTGCTTGTTGTGATATATTAAATGTCTACCAGAATACTTTGCCAGCAGGCCAAACTGCAGGAGCACTAGTGATACCTTACTGTAGTCGTCTAATACCTCTTTTTATCCTTGCTCTACTGAAAAATGTAAGTTAGATTTTAATTAATCAAAGAATTTGGTTTTACATTGTTAACTGCTTTAACACATTCATGGTGTAAATGATTTCTCTAATTATGCAAAGGAATGTAAGGCCTCATTGTGAACTCTGCCTTAGATACAGCTAATGTTATGGATTTATGTTATGTTTTATGACAGAATGACTGCATTGGGAACTTTCTCTTGAGTACACCACCGGAGGTACACAACGTCCTGTCTTTACCCATTTAAGCTTTGGTTGTCTTCTGCCACCGGTGGTGCACACATTGTGAATTAAGTAACAATAATCAAATGATCATAATATTTTTCTTTTCTTCAGCCTAATATTGCCGTTTCATTTGAAGAATTATGAATATTTCACAGTTTTGTGGACATAAGAAAGGGACATCAGATAAGATAATCCCTAGTGTGGATGATAATAGTTCTATCCTTAATATATTACATCTTCATAACAGTTTTCTTTTTATGAAAGAAGTATCAATTAGTGTTTTTTTACTTCAATTACTCACGATGAAAAATGTAATGTCAATCTCTAGATGTAATTTTAAAATAAAAATTGATTTAATCATGTAAGTTTGTTTTATTTCAGTTGCCCTTTCAACATGACATTCGTGCTCCACCAGTGGTACATGATGGAAGGCGTGGCTTTATTATAGCCGTCTGTATAAAATAAATGCTTCATATAGGACTTTGGAGGTATGAGGTACAGTTATATCTTATGGGGGTGTGTACCACAGGTGGTTCACGACGTCCAACAGAAAACATGCATATGTACTACTGGTGGCACACGATGTCGTGAACTTGTTAATTTGTTTGTTGATATTTTTTAAAACTTAATCCTTTTTTCTTTTTTACAAAATACCCTTTGTTAATGTAACCCACAATAGATTAGTTCATAGGAAAACATGGGATTAACAATCGATGTGTTTGAAGGAAAATGAAGTTTGATTATGAACAAGATTACAACACTTATGATAT